TAGGCAGATGTTTCTTCTGTCTTCCCAGCAGTGAGGAGCCAGGAAAGGTGACGATGAGGGGTAACAAATAACATGCTATTCATAGCAGTGCAATGCAATTACTTGTCATACACACTGGTGTGAATAATCCGGCTCATTACAAAGACAATCTACTGTATTCCAAGATGTAACCCTAACCCTAAAGTGCAGAAGACGCTCTGAAGACGATATCGGTAACACCCAATTTACACCTAACGGCATGACTTGCATGTGCAGTTTAAACTTGAACGGAAAAGTTATAAAATCACTGACACAAGGCAAAATGAAGAACAAGTTCGCGCAGAGACCCAAACGTCCAGGCGGCTCAATAGTGTGAGTTAATCAGTGCTGGTGAAAGACTAGAATGATGCCGGCCAGAGAAAGAAGAAGAGAAGAATGTGCTGACGAGTGCGGAGGCATTGATTCCAAGGGCCCAGAGCCAAAATGACGCACTCTTTGCAGTCTTTGGAAGTCTTTGCACCAGGTGAAAAATGTGGGTTTGAGAGTGAGCTGCTGTGAGGCCCAAAGGATATTCTAATGAGCCAAGTCAGCTAATGACAAAGGTAATGTATTCTCAAGACGGCCATATTTGATCATGAAGAGTGTGCAAAGGGGATTACGCTGAGCCCAGTTCAGTCGATGGTTCTTGCATTTCATAAGGATGTAGTTAAAGTTTTAATTGAAGAGTGGAAACATTTAAGTTTTAAATGATCTGGGATTTGGATCTATAAAATGTCTGCTATGCATAAGTGCTCCTCATTAATCTACAAAGCTGCAAAAGTGGGGTTCTACTCAACAAAATGTAATCCAATATGAAAATAGCCATAATACCTCGATCTAACCAGCACACTGTTGTTCTATTGCATTGTTGCACGGACATCATGTGATTTCCAAGAATTTTCTCTGTTTTCTTTCTTTTATAATGTACAGAGCTATTGGTGAAAACAGGGATTGTCAGAGCAACGACATTTTGGGTAGTAAAATTATATTACCTCAACAAGGGAAATGGGATTTCCCTTGGGATCAATACACTATCTATCTCCAGTATCTACATGCATGAATATACTTTTACTGACTGAAAAGGGGAAACCGTATGTCATATTTTAACTTTGTGACCCCAGATAATTTGTCAAAATGTTCACATATCCTATCATACTCAACCTCTTCTGAACAATAGGTCTTGTTAACAAAATTATCCAATCAAAGAATATAATGACTTTTTAATTTGCGTTGGTAAAATTTAGAACCTCAGCACCGTCACCTTTGTTTTTCCTTGTACACTATCCACAAACAAAAACTTGCACCACCCATATTTAAATAAAACCAGGTACAACATAAGTAGTCCTACATGAAAGAGAGTTTGTACAGTTTGTAGCTCAACCCTGGTAGGTGGTTTGCATCAGTAATCAGGCACAATAGACTTTCTTACCTAAACAAATCCCTGCAAAACAAGGAGCAGAAAAGAAGTCAAAGAATATTCTAGAGTATATTGCTTCTGCCCTTGAAATAAGACATTTTTGCATAATCCATTATAAAATCTTATTCTAACAATTGTAATACTACTGCTATCTATCTATCTATCTATCTATCTATCTACCAGCATTGTCTACTGATATATCTTATTATTATTTTCCCCATTACCTGCACACTCCATATGGCTACATTATGCTGCTATAGGTGTAGTGAATATGCTAATTGAATCACCTCTTACTCCAGCTTGGGCCCATTCTCCATTACAGAACTGATTCACCTTTCACAAGTATTTTTCTTTGACTTTAAATGACACTCACAGCCCACTTTTACCCAGTAGCATCACTCGCTCCAGGATTCCTAGACATCACCACAAAAACACGCCCGCTAATTGTTTCACGTCTCAAAAGACTCGTGGCTGGGGACAGACTGAAACACTGCCCCGGACAAGCGGACTGGGACGTTATAACAAAGGATTCCGGAGACAAAGCCCTGACGTGTGCTGAAACGCAGAGATTGAGAGCTCCAGAGAGAAAAACAGACACCTTGACAGGACCGTCCTGAGCAGGAAGATCAGAGCGAGGGGGAGAGTGAAGGACCGGGGCGTGGGCATGTCATCCGGGATCACTGAGCACTGTAATAGGATTGTGCTCTGTCGGCCAGGCTCCGTGTCTCTGCCACTGCCAAACCACGGCATATGGGAATATAGCAGGCTTCCTCGGGTGGGGATTTATTCAGTTGAAATCTTGTTTTACAGTCGGAAATAATCCCGTTTTTGGGCTTGTTGTTTTAGTTTGTTTTTTTGTGGATAGTGGGTTTGAAAGAGTGAATGAATCTGTATACGGACAAAGGTAAAGGTGCACTTTATTTATCCGTGTAGGGCAATTCATCCTCCGCATTTGACCCATTCTGATGCCACTCATGCGACACAAAAAAATACAAATGGGAATGAATAACAGATAAATGTACAAAAAAAAGAAAATTCTGCGCCAACAAACAGGCAAAATATACGATGTTGGAAAAGAGCCGAGGGAATTGAATTGATGCTTATTTATTTAACCCTGCCCCAAAGTAATGCCTTTTTCACCTTTTTGGTTTAATAGATTGATATAAACATTCACGGTTAGAGAAAAAAAGACCCCTTTCATAATTATTCAAGAACCATAATGACTGGCAGAGTTTTACATAGTTGAAACTTTGAACATTAGAATTTTTTTCTGTAATTCATCGGTTTCCTAGCCCATTTGGTAGATCACTTTTTGAGTCGCGATATCTACTTGAAACTGAGGAAGATACTAATCCTTTATACATCGATGAATACACATATACACACATACACATGCAGCGTACAATAACTTTGTGCTCCCTATGGGAAAAGTGGGGTAAAGTCTCTTGCCCAAGGACACATCGACAGCAGACATCAGTGGGAGTTGGTGGAAAAGGTCCTCCGGTGGGATCGAACCCACGACCTTCAGGCCACTGCTCTGAACAGAGCCAACAGAGCTACAGTTGCCCCAAATACCTCTTTGGGGAATCTCACTTGGTTTTAGGAACTTTTACCATCAAACTGCATCTCAACCATTTGGTAAAGCCCAATAATTGAAAAACAAGGGGTTAAAAAAATAAAAATAAACCATACAAACATTATTATTATTAGTGCTCCTTCCTCTCTTAGAAATCTAAAAAATAACATTACATTGCTTTCTTCGAAGAGCGAACAAAAGGGTTAAAATGATTAGCCAATATATGATATAGACTCATAAGTGACATATGCTTTAGTGTGTTACCATTACAAGGATTATGGCTCACAGTCCATTTTCAAAAGATGTTTTATTTGGGGGTTTTACAATCTCTGAGCCAATCATTAGCATATATTAGTTCCACATTGTGAGTTGAATTACAGAAGTAAATGGACTCTCATTTTCCAAGGTTCACCTCTAAACATCACAATTCTTCCTCAAAAAACTGTTTGAATGCCTTTTTATTCTAATGCATGCATACACACAACACACAGACGCACATACGCTCAGGCGCACACCCGATCTTTAAGCTATGAACGAATGCAAATGTTTTCATCTGATGTGACTCTTCAGTGACTGTAGCCGTCCAATTAGAATGGTCCAAATATGTCTGAACAATTCTGGATAGCTGTTGTTGGGCTATGACCAGTTGGTTTCTCTTGTTTCTGCCAAAAGCGGCATGTGGGAATACAAGGATCCTAGTACCTCTCACTTTGCTGGAACAGAAAATGGAATAATAGGTTTCCCGCAGGCTCTAGGTTGGCATAATATTTGCCCAGTGGTCCGTAATGAAACTGAAATGATCTTAGGAGTCAAAATGCTCTTGGCAAACCTACAATCTGTGTCTCCTCCTCACTGTCATTTGCTGCACCATGCTCAAGCTTTTTATGTCCCTCTCACACGCATTTTACTTAATAGCACTATTTGGATTCCACCGCACATTTCTGCTGGGGAGTAGCGTGTCAATGCGGCTCGTGCAGCACATTCTGAGTCACTTTGCATTTGCTGTGGCTCAGAGAGAGACCAGCTCTGCTCTATAACATTATGCATTAAGTACCACCTCCTCGTACGTGTTAGCATTTCGCAATCTGTGAACTACTGTATCTGCTCGGTGTTTTAGTTGAGATATGGTATTTGATCAGAAGACACATTTATAGAGTTGAACTACGCTAAATAGAAAATATAAACATACTAATTTGTCATCTGTGACTTATGAACTGTGCTGGGAGTAACGCAGTACAAAGGTAATTAATTAGTTGCTGTAATATATTGATTATTGCTTTGTATAATAAACTTCTTCTTGCAGTATCTCAAGTTTTTTTGTAGATTTAATTGCCTTGATGTCTCAAAAGTTTATTTCAACAGTTTAATTGGGCAGTACATCTGCAAAGTATACTTCCACCATTTACAAATATTATTTTTTTTTAAACTGCAACTTAATAATAGCTCTTAACACTATGAAACATGATGTAATGTATGATATGTCTTGTTGTGTTATGATCAAAGTTATTCAAAGTAGTGTAACGCCTTATCTGTTTCCTTAATATTTTACGCATGACAATATTAGAGTCACTTGCCCAAGACTAACCATCAATCATGATATAAATGGCGTGTTTTTAATTACAATATTACTTACAGGTAAAATGTAAAGTCTAGTCAGATGTTTTATGAAGAAAGGCATTACATCAGAAAATCCTTTTACTTTGTTGCATGAACACCTGATTATTTAACTAATTATTTGAGCTATGTCTTCCTTTGCTGGCTGATGTCTGAATCACTGTCAATGATGAAGATTTTACCTTATTCTGCAGTTGTATTGGTACTGAAAAGTGCTTTTGTTGTTCTGTTTTTCCTTCCATATTCAAGCTTTTGGAAGAATTTATTTTGAAATAGAATAAAAGAAACAATAAACAAATGGCTGGATCCAAATGTCCTTCTTTTGTGTTTCCTCATCCATAATCCCCCTTTCTCTTGTTTCTTTGTTCTTTCCAGATGAATTCAAGTCCTTCCTGAAGCGCTTGCCCACCGATCGCTTCCTGAATGTGTCCATGATTGCCAAGTTCTGGTCGGCTGACTTGTCCGTCCAGAAGCGTTACGCGCAGCTTGAGGCGAGCACCGCGTTGGTTTTTGGGAAAGCTCAGAAAATCATCAGGAAACTGTTCACTCTGAGCAAGCGCTGCCCCAAACAGCCGCGCATCAGCCTGCCCCGAGAGAGGTACTCCCCAGACCATGGTCACCCATCACAACACACACACACACACACCCACACACACACAGACACATACAGTACACTCAGACTCCTGCATGCACACACACACACAACACACAGAGACACAGATGGATAGATATTTTATTGATCCCTCGTATGAGAAATTCAGGTGTCCAGTAGCAGAAGACTTATCTAGTTTTGTTGTACAGTCTGACAGCCGAAGGAACCAAGGATCTCTTGAAACATTCCGTTCGGCAGCGTAGTGATAGGAGCCTTTTGCGACGATTACTCTGAGCGGCCATAGTGTCATGCAGACACACACACATGCGCTCAGATACTAATGCACACACACGCACACAACACACATACAGACACATCGACAAATGCTCAGACACTCATACATGCACGCACACACACAGTCAGAGACACACACGCACACATACAGACACACGCACATATGCTCAGATACATATATACTGTACATGCACGCAGTCACACGCACACACACAAACGCTCGCACACAGATGTACGCACACACAGAGACACAAATACAAACTCACCCACATACGCTCAGAGACTTATACTCACTTCTGCTCAGACACTCATACACACACACATACGCGCATACACACGCACGTACGCTCAGACACACTTACTGTACAGACACACACACAGTCAGATGAACATGCCCGCACAAACACACACACATACGCTCAGACGCACACCTGCACACACACACACATGGGCGCATACAAACAGAAGCATACACGTACACCCACACACACACTCCCACAAACACACACATGCACGCACACACAAACACACACACACACATCTGGGAGCAGGCCGAAGGAGGGAAGATTCATGCTGTGGACAATAGAATGATGAAATAGTGTCAATTATTTCACATCTGCTGCTTCAGGCTTCAAGTAAAACAAACTACAACAACAACATTTGTCATAAATGTAATTAGTCACAGTATTATTCATAAATGACTCCACACTTCCAGAACACATACTACTCATCGCTCTCATGAACTATTTATACTCATCTTCGTGAACCATCGTGAGTTTAATAGCTGCGCTCTATAAATAGTGATTACTTACTCACTTACTTACTATAATATGGATCTCAGATTCAGATTCAGTTTATTTGCCATTTGCAGTAAAAAAAAAACACATTGGAATACATTAGCAAAAGTCTCCAGTGTACACAGACAAATACAGACATAAAACAACTTTTAAAGACATTAAAAGACAGAAATAAACACAAATATAACAGTAAACAAATGTCACTGTGAAATCGATCGACTAAAACTGTTTCAAAACAAGTGCAAATCATTAAAGTGCTCTGTTCACACTGATAACAGCTTGTGGATAAAAACTGTTAGCGTAACGAGATGTCCTGCATCTCAGAGAGCGATATCTTCTGCCAGAGGGAAGAAGCTGGAACATGGCTTTCCCAGGGTGGCCAGAAGAGTCATTAACAATCCTAAGAGCTTTGTTTAAAAGTCTGGATTTATAAAGAACCTCCAGAATATTACTGTAATTGAAATTAGAGAAATAATATTCATTTTAGATAGTATTCATACTGAAAAGACCAAATACACAAACAGGACATAATAGTATTTAATGATTTGGATGTACAGTATTCCAGAATTAGTCTAAAACAGTGAGATAGCATTCAAGTAAAATATAAAGTTTTATTAATATTTACGTGAAAAAATTGCAGCTTAATTATTGTCAAAAAAAGATTTCACTTTTAAATGATCACCGTGTCATTGATGTAGTGAGTGTTTTTGTCTAGAGTTTGTAATGTAAAACACAAAAATATAGACAATCCACCAGTTTCATATTTTACGTCAGTTTGAGTTTGGTTTGGCTCAGAATCCTCTCTGCTGAGTGAATATCATACATGACATGGCTTAAGGCATCTGTGCACCGCGGTTCAGCTAAATACATTTTTCAGCATCAGCAGGTTGCACCAGCCGCAATGCAAGCAGAGGATACAAGCAGAGGATACAAGCAGAGGATACAAGCAGAGGATACAAGCAGAGGATACAAGCCGAGGATACAAGCAGAGGATACAAGCAGAGGATACAAGCAGAGGATACAAGCAGAGGATACAAGCAGAGGATACAAGCAGTAGGACTTGCATTTTTCATACAGGGAAAATGTAGAAATTAGATAAGAACAACATGCACTGGAAGCTGTCAGAAGGTGCAACATGGACCAGATGTGTCACTGTTACTTTACATTACTCGACTGTGCAATAATCACTTTAGTATTGTCAGAATGTGCAATATAGAACCACATTTGTTACTGTCACTTTACTGAGTCACTTTGTCTCCCACCCTCGTGCTGCTAACATGTACATATGTATCCGCACAACTATATATTACTTGCACTAGAACATACAGCATTTTATACTTGTTCCATGTTATGCAAAAGTTGTTGTACTTAACTCTTGCTTCTTCATAGATAGATAGATAGGTACTTTATTGATCCCCATAGGAGAAATTCAGGTGCAGTAGCAACAGAAACACAGGCATTCATTCAAACAAAACAAATACATAGATCATTCTAAAAATTAACTACAAATATTATTAAAATGCAAAGTTGGACATTTTAGGACTTCGTTCCTTATTATGCTAACGATAGAGATTTTATACTGCTTCTTTTTATGCTGGAGTAAGAGATTGTTTTTTTTTTTGTATAAATGTAATATTCATTTATCTTGTGCTGTGTGCTCCTCATTCCTACTATTCTGTAACTTGTGATGCAACACTGAAATTTCCCCACTGTGGGACAAATAAAGCATGCCTTAATCTTAACTTTGTGTGAATTAGATGCGATCACATAAAGCTTCTTGTGAAAGCAGTAGTCGCGATGCACGGCCTGAAATAGCGCTGACTTTAAGGGTATTAGCCAGATGGAGAGGTCTGGTTACCAGCTGTGGAGCCTTTGTCAGGTGAGGTTGGTGGTGATGTGACACACTGTAATCAGGTCCTCCAGGCGGCTGACAGCACAACACTTGTTTACCGAGGCCCCTCATTTCTCAGACAGTCCTTTCCTTCCACACGTCACTCCATGCCTGCTCCTCTGAACACTGCCCTTTTGCATCACTCACATGGATCTGGACAAAGGCCGGGAAACAGAGCCCACCACAAACACAACTCTCACACCAATGACATTTTTGTTTGCTTGTTTTTGTTATACATACTTTATGTTAATTATTTATTAATGTAATGTGAATCTGATTATTAAAAGATCTATACATCGACGATAGCATTGGTCAGATCACACCTAAAATCATGTGATTACTTTCCACTATACTTTTTACCATGTTCACTGTTGTTTTATTTAATGCGAGATTATATTTCTTTGCAGAAATGGGTCTCATTACTCAAAGAAAGACAAAATGACAACAGGCATGAGTTATTGTTTTATTTCACCTTGGACTTAAAGTAATTGTCTTTTTTCTATTATCCATAGTGGAAACTATTGTTGTTGTTAATAACAAGTCTTGGGCAAGTGCATAGTTTCAGAGTGTTCTGTTTTGTGTGTTTCCCTCAGGCCCGTGGGCTTTTGGCTGGGCCGTGTGCAGTCTCTGCTCTACTGTAATGAACACGGTGTCCTTGGCTCCTTCTCGGAGGAGGTGCGGAGCTGCAGCTGCCCTGTGGAGCAGCCCTCCTGCCAGGGAGTGGTTCCGTGTGTGATTGGCACCAGCTCCACTTCCTGCTCCTCCTGTGCTGCTGACAACGCCACCCGATGTGGAGCATGTCACCACGGCGACCTTCTCCATCTTGGCTCGTGTCGCCCGAGTATCGCCGCATCGCTGGATCACTATCTCAACCTGGACCTAGACATGCCAGACGCTGAGGTTATAATGCTATGTATTATCTTGACGTTATTTTCTCGTTTGATTTTGTACAGAACGTAATCATTGTTCTTTGTGACATCAGGTGAAGTACCTGCTGCAGCGCCTGGACAGCAGAATTGAAGTTCACGCCATCTACATCAGCAACGACGTTCGCTTGGGGAGCTGGTTTAATCCTGCCTGGAGAAAGAGGATGTTGCTGACGTTAAAAAGTAACAAAAACAAGTCCAACCTCATCCACATGTTGATGGGGATTTCTTTCCAAATCTGTGCAACTAAGAATTCCACTCTGGAGCCTGTTCCTGCCGTTTATGTGAATCCCTTTGGGGGCAGTCACTCAGAGAGCTGGTTCATGCCTGTGACGACACCTGAGTTTCCGGACTGGGAGAGAACTCGATTAGAGACTGGTCCTACAGCTCAGTGTTACAACTGGACACTGCCTCTTGGCGGACAGTGGAAGTCCTTTTTCGAGACGGTGCACATCTATCTTCGAAGTAGAATTGTCACAGACGACCCTACGGTGAATGAAACGCTCTTCTATGAACCACTGGACCTAGACGATCAGACGTCAAACATGGGGTACATGAAGATCAACACCCTGAAAGTGTTTGGATACAGCATGCACTTTGATCCCGAGGGCATCAAGGACCTGATCCTGCAGCTGGACTACCCGTACACCCAAGGCACGCAGGACGCTGCTTTTCTCATGTTGTTGGAGATGAGAGATCGGATTAACCGCCTGTCTCCGCCCGCCCCACAGCCTCTGGACCTGTTCTCCTGTCTGCTGCGTCATCGACTCAAACTGTCCGCTGGGGAGGTGGCACGCATCAACGACTCCCTGCAGCTGTTCAGCTCCAAACTTCCCAACGCCATCCCTGAGCCCGAGATGGCCCAGCTCTGCAGCTAGCTAAGTATATGAGCGGCTAGTGGAGATGCTGCACCAGACTACTGGGCAGGTTGCTCTCATGGACTTTGGAACTCGCTGCTTGGTTTGTCCGAGGATCAGTCAGGAGACGTATGGTGTCTTAATTTTGAATGTTTGGAGTTTACTAGCAGAGCCATTGACTTTGTTGCAGATGTGTAAGCCTTGTGCTGTTACTGCCCTGCGTTGGACCTGAAAAATCCCAATGGAGTCTATGTCAGCCCAAGTAGCTGAGGAAAAGAAGACACAAAAGACCTCTGCCTTACAGAGACAAAGGCATTTTTCATATGTAAAGAGGGACACATAAGGGATCTTCAGCAATGATCCAGTGGAAGAAGATAAGCCCTTTTCTAACCATATTTTCTTTGTCTATGGGAGTGAAGGGAATCGGGATAATATTATATATGTGGTGAATGAGTTGTTATGCTTAACAGTTTAAAATTTGATAAACCTGATCCCTGGTATTGTCTTTTCATATTTCTTTCTAACCCCTGCTTCAATTTTATTTGTCATTTAAAACTTGTACAAAATGTATCTACGCTTAACATCCCAGTGAGAAACCTGTTAGTGATGTTCTGTCCTTGGTGCTGAGTCTAAAACAGAAACACTGGCGAATTGGATTGCAAAATACTTATATTTTTTTCTTTTCAAACCAATCAACGAATCTATCGCCATGGTCGGTCTTCAGACAGTGGCGCTGTACATACTGCTCCATCTAACCCTGGTGTTTTACTAAAGTGCACATAGCTTTTTAGATACCCAAGGGCAAAGACCAAAAAAATGTTTTTAACAAGAAACTCATGCCTTATTTTGAGGATCGATGTTATGGAGAAGCACATTTGGTTTGGCTGTATTGCTTTTTATATGTCCAATATTTTTACCAAAACAGAACAAAATAACACATTCTCCTGAGTCGGTGTAGAATTACTATAAAGCTATTGTATTCTGTTTCTTCTTTTGACCTAATTCGTTTTTTTTACCACTTGATATGGATTTGAAAATCTGCTCACAGTTCACTTACATACAATGTTGTCCAGAAAACAACTGGACTGGACAATAAGAGTGTGGGGTCATGCCAAAGCTGATAGGACACACTGTAGGAGCGTGTACACATGGCAGTGGTCGGTGCGGCCTTATAACATGCAACACACAGACAAACGATTGTTTTTTTCTTTATCTTTTCACATGACATTGCGATTTATTAACTTGCAATTATTCACCTATAATCCCGGGTGAAGAAACATTGTACATATTCAGCTTCAGCAAAATGCACACTTCTGTCTCACTCGCATCTACTGAACAACACTGCCATCAATGTCCAAGACAAGTACTGAAGCTTTTTAATGTACTACTTACATACGTTTAGAAAATCACTCCTAATAACAACTTTTGATTGAATGACCTGCAGTTTCTATATTCATATTTTTATTTAAATAAAAGCTATTATTACTATTTTATTTATTTGTTTCACGTTTCAAACATAGCATCTCTTGTAGTTTATGTCCAGTGATGTTATTAAATCTAGGGAGTGATTTATCCTTAAATGCTGTGTACCACCATTAGGTCACAATGATCTTCATGCAAAAATATGTCACTTAAAACAACACGCAAACCGTAAAATTACATTCTAAAAATGAAATTCCTGTTTTGAACTATGAACTGGTTTAGTCAGTGCATAGTCAGCTATATTCTGTCCCTAAACCTAGTTCTCATATGAGTAGATCTGTTGTGAACTAAAACACTGCTTGTGATGACCTTGCATTATCTTGCATCTCAAAATGTATTTAATTTGTGCACCTGCTATTCTTCTCACTGCAGCTGTAGCTTGCTTATCTTCTGTTGTTTTGTTATGGTCTAGGGCTCGCTCCTTGAGTCAGACCGAATCTAATTTCAGTCTCAGCCTTGACACCATCTTGAAATTGCTACGACTTGGACGTCAGATATTTTTGTGGTGGCTCACTCTTTGTCCTTGAGATTATATAGAATAAAGTTTACTTCATGTATCACTTTCTACAACCCCTGTGTCCTTTTTTCATGACTTGATGATGTGGTTAAAGCTGGAGTATGTAACTTTGAAACAACAACGTTAACTAATGTAATGAAATCTGTGTAACTCTGAATGAATTAATGAATGAATGAGCTATTTCTTAGATCTAAAACAGACAATTCACATGGCATTATTCTTTCACTCCAAACACAGTGGTGATAAGCGACTAATGTAGCCATAGCTGCCCTGGGGCACACTAACAGAAGCGAGGCAACCAGAAGGTGCAATCAAACTGTCTGACCACCACCAACCATTAATGTTCACATCAGAGTCATTCTAGACAATGAAGGTAAAGTGTCTCCAGTTTGGCGCTTCACAGCCGCAGCCGCCCCACTGGGCATCTGGTGTTCCTAGTGGTCTCCCATCACAGTACTAACCAGGCCCTGCCCTGCTTAGCTTCAGAAGTCTGACAGGATCTGGCTTTCACATGCAGATGGCAGCAACCAATTTTTTTTCATATCAAATCAAGACTAATGTTATTTCATTATTTATGAAACCAATACATGTTAGCTACTCCAGCTTTAATGTTTGAATAAATTGCTGAATGAAAACGAATGCCAGTAAAAATGCCATAATGAAACTATATTTAAATCTCAGCTGCTAATCAACAACTGCTGCTAATCTTTTGTTTTTTCAGCTCAACTTCAGATTCCTTTACCAGTGCAGTGCATCACGAATCAGTGTAAATGGCTTTGATGATTATGTTTCCATTTTAGTGTTGTTTTTTTTTCATTCCATTAATGTCAAAGAGCAACGGCAGAGCGCTTTGTCATGTAGTGAATGCCTTTTACATCAATTAAGCTGAGAAACCTTGCAATATAGTTTGTAAACCTGTTTGTCAAAGCCATTTTCATCCATATAATGATTGACGTACATGTTTTTGCTTTTCGTATGATGTTTTGTGCAAATCTGGACGCACCTACAGCAACATCTAATCTAACGTAATGTCAACTCCATTGCCGAGCCTCCATTGCCATAAAAATCAGCGCATACATCCAATTACCTCCGACCTCCCATAATAAGACAGATGCCCTCCAGTATGCGCAGACTATTTTTTGTAAGATGAAAAGCCAATTTCCCTGGTTGTCACGAGACAAACAAGAACCAAATGCACTCTGTCACTTTCTATCAAGCCACCAGTTCGTCTGCGAAGACCACAGCGGGCGAGCGACATCGACGGAGACTGGAGTGCTGCTAGGAGAGAGAGGGAGACAGAGAAAGAGTGGAGAGAGAGATGGTCCACATTTTGACGTAATGAGCTGTGGAAGAAGTCACTCTGCATCGTGTTAATATACAGTTATTCATCTTCAGTATGGCACCTTTAGGAAAGAGTGGGTTTGCCCTTGGGCTAATCTAGAGGCTCACAAAAGACAGCCAATCCATCAGAGCACTATATACTAGTCCGTATATGGCAAACTTCACAGACCTCCCCAAAGAAGCTAGCAAGAAAAAAACAAGAAGTGAGTGTGAGCGTGATTGAAAAGGGAATTTGTGATGTAGAGGGAGATGGAGTGAGGATAAAGAGGCGAGAGAAGTCGGACCAGTCGGGACGCAGACGTCTCCTGGTGATTTATGGTGTTTGGAGAGGGAGACTGCTTGAATTAATGAGCAGGAATTGGTGAAATGGACTGGCAAGCTGAGCCGCTCTGGGATTGAGGTCACTTATCAACAAGGAAACCCATAGCCATGTATGGATTTTATGTTTACAATTAGAGAGAGTTTAGTTGTTTAATGACAAAAACAAGCACTTAAGCCACAATATTAGTAACTGGTTGTGATTACTTGCATTCTCACAAACCTTTCCATGTGTGTGTGTGTGTATGTGTCATGAATAAGATAAGATATACTTTATTTATCTCACACAAGAAACATTTACAACATTATTCCCTTCCAGCCCAGCCCACCAATGAGACCACACGTTTCCGCCACATTCTATATCTCTCTCCACTTTCCGTCTAATGATGATGATGCTGACTTGTTCCTCTCATACCTGCCATTATATACTGTATCTCCTCATGGGAAATATATACGTGCCTTTTTGTCATTTTTTGTTGAGTCCATTTTTAAGTCTTGACTTGATGTGAAAAGTTCAAAATCCCTTGCTAATCTTGCATTGTATACTTTTATACAAATTGTTTATGGACGCACGCCGGACTTCCGCCAGCGAGCGACAGTAAGGACGCATGGTTTGTGTTTAGTCTGTGTAATTTTACTTTAGTTTGTTTTCATACTGGGGCTGTTTCTGTCACGTTTACAAATGTGACCAATATTCACCTGGGGACATGTTCACAGTTGCATGGACATAAAATGATGCTGGTTATAACTTATAGCAATTTTCCCTATGTAAAGTATTTATTAGAGTAGGGTTGGATCCTAGACAACCTTCGACAGTCCAATGCATTCTTCCAAATCCATACAGGAAAAACTAATTTGCAGACCTTGTTCCTATGGGCTTTTGACACACAGCAGAGAAATGAGTTATGTTATCTGATAAAACAAATATAATATTAGAAAACAGGAGCCCTGCTGCGTGTTTCTTTTCTTGAACATGTCGAGCTTTGTCACAGACTGCTGCTCCTCAAAGAAAACAGGCCATATCATCGTTCTGCAGTTTACTTACTAGTTTTGTTTTAACACTAACTTGTCTGGTACTGGGGCGTGAATGTGCATTTAAATATATGTTGTCCCTAGAATGAGAAAAATACTGTCATGTCACATCAAAATGAACTAAATAAGCATTGAACCCAGAAGCAGCAAGCACACGAACAGCACCGAGCCCAGCCCTGTGAGTGCAGGAGGATGATTTATGTTGCAAACATCGAGTTGGACATAGAGAAGGGTAACAGATGTTTGACCTTGTTGAAATACTCTTTTTTTATTTTTATGGTTAGCTGGTGTATTGTGTGTTACCAGTCCTCACCAAGATTTTCAATTTCCT